ATTTCATCTATTGGTGACTTCACCGGGAGTTATTATATTTTGATCTCCCGGCCAAGGTCACAACTTATAGTGGGACTTTATAGGTATAAGTTTTAAGAAATTCATAAAACATTTGAGTTTGAGACACATTAGATATTCTGCTTAGTAGCTATTGAAAGGGGAAGAATAATGATTATGTCTTCTTTATTTAGTTAAATTAAATTAATTACATTATGATTATTATTAATCTTAGTTCTTAGGTTCCTTTCATTTTTCAAAGATAACCATTGCAACTATTTTTTTTAACGCGAAAGGAACTATTTCCCTTTTAACAATAAATCGTTATTACCGACGGTAGTGGCCGTGCGGTTAGAGTGCTAGGCTAGCATGCCAACGATCCGGGTTCGATCCCGGCCACCGGCGGTCAAAATTTATAGCGCTCTAATCTCACAGTTTCACTGTCGAGCGGTAGTCCTGTCAAAAGGACGACTGTACCAGGGCAGGTTTTTCCCCTCGAATTAGATTTTTCCCTCCCTTCGGCAAATGCGGTACAGGGGGTTTGGGGGGTGAGAAGGGAACAAATCGTAAAGACCCGAAAGGGTATACGGAAGGAAAAAGTTTTTTAATAAATCGTTATTTTTGTCTTATGAATGATTCATTAAGTTAATTAGTCAAGTCGATCGTCGGAAGACATGTCGGAGTTTTTTTTTAGTTACCTGATGAATTCATTTCTGGTTTCAAGTATTGTTCCCATGATTTCTGTATCCTTTTTTCCTTCTTATGGTTATTATCTTCTTTCCATATGCAATTATACCGGATTTTATGCTATCATTTAATGGGGACTAGAAATTCATTCTCATTTTTCTTTACCAGGAACAAATCAAATATTGGATTAATTATTCATATTTACCATGTATTGCTTCTTTGAATATGAAGATTTTGAGTTGGACACTTGAAATTTTGACCCTAGACGGGTTGAGCATGAGAGAATCACCACGTTTTAAAGTCTTTATGACTTGTAATTGTGAGAATTAAGCGTTAAGCTCTACTAACTCAACTTATTTCTCAACATATTCAACTATTAATTCAACTTTAATCAACTAAATTCAACCTGTAAATTATTGTAAAAACCGCATCAAATTGACCACGCGTTTTAATAAATTGATAATCGTTGTGTGTGATAATTTCGCGAGTTACTAAATTTTTTACACAGTCACCGCATTTCCCTGACCTTCTTCCAATCCACCCTACTCACCTGTTACCTCAACAAACACCATTTTTAGTATTTTTGAGTTCAGAAAGCATAAAAAACACATTACGTGTGACATCATTAGATTCATCTCATCGAGTAAAACAACTTTTGTTACAAGAAAATTTTTGATCCCATATGAAAAAAATGAACTTATGCTTGTATCATAAAAACATGAAGACTTAAATGCTCAACACATATCTCATTATTTTTCCCACTTGGAGCCCTACAACTTCTAGTTGAAAGATTTTTCGATTACTACCCACATTCAATAGTTATTTGGGTGTACAATTTTATCTCGGACACCCTGTAGATTCGATGATTATTGTATAGAAAGAAAGAATTAGACAGCGAAGGTAAAGTAAAAGTATAAATACAGTAAGAAGAAGAAGAGAGAATACTAGATGATCCCTGGCCGCGAACTCTATTGTGCGAATATAAACACTGGCCCTCGACTGTTCCACCGAGCGCCGAATTATATACAGGGTGTCCCAGAAGTACATGCTAGTAATCCTTTACCAGCATGTACAGGGGGTGATTCTGAGCCGAAAAGTCCTTTTCCACTTTTGCATCAAAAGCACCCCCCCTCAGATATTGTGGTAAACAGGAGAGCCAATGACGCAGCAGCGTTAAACGTCAGTACGTCCGTGTGGCTCCGCACACACGCATGACCGACACCCCTTCTAGGCAGCGGGCTATGTGTGCGGAGCCACACGAACGTACTGCCGTTTAACGCTGCCGCGTCATTGGCTCTCCTATTTACCCCAATATCTCCGGGGGGTCGCTTGGTTCGCAACGCTGCCTCAGGTTGGACGCCATTGAGACAGGCCTTTCAGTATAAATCAACAGTTCATCAAATAAATTAGGCAAAAAAACAGACAAAATTCGACAAGAGAGAGAGAGTGAG